AATTTATAAACGAAACTGTCTCTGTGCAAACGATAACTATCTAATTTAATTAAAACTTAAACTAAATTTTACTAACATTTCGTAAATAAAAGAGTTGAAATGATTTCCTGCGCAACCAGTTACTTATCGCTTCTAATTGATTGATTACTGCCAATATACTCTCGTATTTGCAATTCTCATACAATATACGAATATGCACGCTGCCGCATGGCATCTAAGGTCATATTAGTTTTCCGTCAATTTTCTATGTTCATGTAAATTTTCGCAATAAAAAATTTCTACAATATGTTGCCGGTGCTGCAGCGTTTTAGTCAGTTTATGTGTTTTAAAGTGATCTGTCAATGGCATTAGTTGTTCACAGTTTGGCAAGTTCGTTGCTTAAGTCTTTTGTTCTGGTGCCAGTGTAATTTGGTAACTTGAACCGTTTGTCAACAATCAAGTTGAATTAAAGCCGTACACTTGGGTGTTGTCTAGCGGAGGTTAATTTTAGCACACATAAGTGTGCAAATATACATGTGTGTGTGTGTGTGTGTGTTGTCAAATTAGCTGGAAAAATGACTGCATTAATATAGTAAAGTATGTTCGACGTCAATTACTCAAGGTTAGGCGCAGTTGATTGCGAGTAACAAGTTCCTTAGCTACAAAGTCGTTGTATTCGCTCATTTTTATATACTATCTGTATGTATGTCTGTTATAAGTAGAAAAATCGATTCGGTGTCAATAAATATGCCGGAAATGCAGAGCGAATTTTTGTGAAGAGTGCAATATATTGGAAAATTTTTAATTTCACGGTGATGTATGTGGAACATAAACGCTGTAATGCTATAGATTGTATTGTGCATAAAATGAAGCATTATAGTAAAGTGTTAATGAAATTATTAAATATATTTTGAAAGTTAATATTAGCTATACATTTTAATACTGAAGATAAGTTATATTTTCTACTGATCTCTAAAGCTTTTATTTCTCTAAAATTGTGACTCTGTGAATCCATCTTTTTACAATTAAATTGCTAAAATAAAATACGTACTTTTCTTTAGTAGTAAAGTCCAAGAAATAGTTTTCGTGTTCACCCTCATTTGGCCTATAATATAGTATATTAAATATAAGTTAAAATTAATAAAAATATAATTAATTGGATTGTCTTCATTTGCTCTTTTTAATGTTTAGTTGTACTATTTAAAATTTTCATGAAAATCGTATCACCATTAAAGTAACGCCCCTGCATAAATATGAATTAAGTTTATTAAACAAATTATAAATTATTCAAGCACAACACATAAATACCCTTGGTATTATTCTAAGCAATAATTATTAAACTCAAAATCAGACACACCTTTAAATAAATAAACGCCGAGAACTAAATAAAAGAACCAATAAATAAAATTATTGTACCATTCAAAATATAAATATATTTATGCAATAAAATAATAGCTTTATTAAACGGAATAATTGACATACAATTTATCTCAATAATGTTAGTTACTGCTTAAAGTTATTCTAATATCCAGAATTTTGATCACATCTACAAATAAAATGCGCCTCAAAAAGAAGGTTTAAACAACCTCGATTGAATGGTTTTTGTCACCTGTGTTCAAGGTTAATATCGCCACCATGCTAACTGAATAGATGGTCACTTCTCTGAAGAATTCTGCTCTCCGAAGCAGTAAATCTACTGCTACTTTCTCCAGACAGTAAACTCCTCCACCCACCATTTCCTAAACTAAATATATCCAATCTGTAAAGAAGCTCACTGTCCCTTTCTTCCAGGAACCCACCACTCACGCCGGTATGTTCGCAACTCCATGATCCAAATGATGGAGAGTGAACTCCACCTTGTAGGGTTCCCATACTCACATTTCGTTAAGCGCGTGCTTCGAGGTATTCCCTTTCAATCACCCTGTCGCAAAGAAGCCTGAAAATGAATAAGGTTTCTGAGGTTTGATTCAACCCCAAGACGTTATTGAAAGCTCTCTCAAGGAAGGTTTCAAAAGCGAATTCTTTAACCCTAATGACTTCCTTAAACCATGACACGATAGTATGCAGGGCAGCATCCACTGAATTACCTCTACAAGAAGCATGTTGATAAATGGTTTCTCCGAGTACGCCCTTTTATGTAACTGTGACCAAGTAATTTAACCATTAATATTTTAGTCTGATATATTAACTATTTGGGACATGCACTTTCCGGCTATTTTTAGCAAACATAAAGAGCCAACCACGTAATTTTAAACAAGTCGTAACTCATTTATTTCCACCAAATGTAAGACTTAAAAACGCTATTTAAAATACTTTCTAATATTATTGGTTGTACTTGGTTTCGAAAAATATTAAGGTTTTAAACAGTTGGTTTATAGAAATTAACGTTTAAAACTAAAAGAAAAAAATAAATAAATAATGCTAGATTACTTTTCATATTTGTATAAAGCTAACAACTTTAAGTGGTGTCACTTTCTGGTGCACAGTATTAATCTTACTAATAATGAAGGAAAATTCTTCTTATTCACTCTCTTTTCACCCTTCAATAACCTTTTCTTTAGAAAATTGCAAGTTATTGTTAAGATTTCTCGAGCCTGTTTGACAGAAGGAAATCAAGTATTGCTATCAACGACATCTAAGAGGTGTTTACAGCGTAATTCCGCTAGTCTTACGCGGTTTTAGTCAAATTAGATTAGGTATTTATATATCAAGAATGTCTAATTGTTTATTTAAAATTAATATTGAATGAAAATAAAGTTATTTTCAATTTACATTGCATTATTGCGCCTCCGCTAGCGACTGTTCTGCTTGCTTGTTCACCAACAAATGCCTCTCACATGCAAAACACTGTCGGTGACACATACTAGTATTAGATATTTTTAGAAATATAGGTAGATAAGATAACCTACTGTGTATATGTTATAAGAAAATTGTTGGGGAAGTTATACCAATTCAAAGTAGTTGGCGTCGAACTGGTTCTGTTCTAACTACACATTTTAAACGGTGAAGAGTACTAAACTCATTTTCATTAACCTGCATTTATTTTAAAGAGCATAAAAAACAATTCTTAGACCATTTTTAAAGCAAAAATAATATAAAAGTTTTTAATAAAAAAGAAAATTTTCTTTTCGAAATCTCATTTTTATGGTCCATGTTTGAATTTCTGGAAGATCTCTATGTTTAATTTTCTTATTTCAGTTAACAAATTTTCGCCAATTCTGATGTCAGCGGCGACACGACTTATGGGAATTATTGAAAGCCAATTAATTATTTTCTTAAACGTACATGGTATCAGCTTCATATCCACCGTTTCAGTTTTTTCTAACAACACATTGCGGAAAAGTACTTTTTCTCCTCCTTAACGGAAAATATACGGTGAATGCCGTTTACTGTTCGCGGCTGTGCTGAAAGTTTCTATTTTATCATGGTATGTGTTTCCATTCTGGTGAACAGACATTTCTTGGTAGAGTTTCACTATTTAGAGCTAAATTCCTTAAAGGCCAGGCAATGAGTCCCTTGAGGAAAGCGCTGACTTAGTTTTACTGAAAACTATTTTCAAATTTGGTTTTTTTGTCATTAACATGTTAATAGCAAATCATTTTAATGCTATTCCCCTAAGATCGACCAACTCTCATAGGCTTTTCTGATATATTACAAACAAAAAGTGGAAAAAAATTATCTTTTGAAATGCAAATATATTTCGGAGTAATACCCTTCTTACAATTCAAGATGAAAATTTTGAACCAGTTAAATACCAAAAAGTAAAGTGAGAATATTTCGTGGTGTGGTGCGCCGGGCCAAACTATCAAGAAGGAACAATATTTCAGAGTTATGCAGCGTGTGCGTAATGCTATTCATCTGAAAAGGTGAGAAATATGGGTGAACAACTCTAAGTTCCTTCAACACGTTAATGACATGATGATGGCTGCAATTTTTCTTCGCTACTATTTTTGCAAAAAAACTTAATTCATATCGTTCCAATTCACCGTATAGTGAAACCTTTGGCTTTTCAGCAAACACCAAAAGTCAATGTTGACGCCGTTTTGACACGATTGTGGAGATAAAATTAGAACAGAAGAAGGCGTGGAGGGTATACAATAAAAATATTATTTCGACTGTTTTGAGGATCGGCAAAAGGGTTGACGAAAGTGCGCTTTATCGGACGGGAAGCACTTTGAAGGGTATAAAACTAAACTTGAAGTATAAATACAGAATTTAAATTTTATAAACAAATTCATCTTATTCTTTGATTACGGAATATTAACCGAGTTTTTGAGGTAGTTGGAAACGAACGACCTTATTTTCGAAATTGAAATTTACTTCACTGCCACTAGTTATCGGAAATAGCATTATAATACTTATTTAAAGCTTTATTTAAATAACTCATGATGCTCATTTCCATTCTCATGTATCCGTAAGACTATACGCTAGCATTAAACCGTAGCCATAGTATCCAACATTAATGTCCTAGAAATTTTTAAATAATTAATTTAAAGCTATTGTTTATAATTTCAAACATACAAGCTAGAAAGTAGAATAATGTTCACTCTTATTCCAGTCAAATTACTTTTATAAATGAGACACGTTTCTTACTCATTGACCACAATTTATTTCACACATATTATTGTTCGCAGTCCCGCTTTGCAATCGTTTCGCATATGAATGTCTTGCGTACCACACTTGTCACACTGTCACACTTTTAGTACGCAGGTAAATGGAAATGGATAATGGGAGCTCAATTACATACTTGTTAACTAAGAAAAATGAATGTGCGGTGCCGTTGCAACAAGTGTTATAGCCATCTAATTATCATAAGCATGTGCTTAAAACGAATTTCTCAAAAGATCGGTGCTAAAAGACTATGACTCGACTGACACCAAAACCACCGACTGTGCACACTCAGCAAAAATGCCGTAATTCTGTTGAAATACAAACATTGTAAAAATGCATGAAAACAAATGACATACCATAACACTAAAGTAATGCCAATTAATTTTTAATTTCTTTGCTTCAATTCACAGATGTTGGCGCGAACACCGACGATCGACACGCGGCCCGCCAGCGCAGCACCAACAGTCGATCTTATAGCGGGGAATGAGTTTCTCAAGTTGCTTTTCGAACGTGATGAATCGCAGCGCGAACTGCACAGCGGTGAGCACGACGATGCCAACGAACGTGTGGTGCGCGGACTGCAGGCACGTAGCGACAGCAGCAGCAGCGGCAGCAGAGGGGCTGCTGGCGAAAGGCGAGTGTCGCGCGCCGATCATTACCAATCGACAGGCGATGCCACCACGCAGTCAAGTGATTTGGGTAATAGAGGCGCGGCGGCGCGTAGTCTTAGTTATAAGAGTCGTAATGTGCAGAATGAAGCGACAGCGACGACGACGGCGAAGACAATGCGCGCAGAGGAGGGCAAACAAGTGGTAAAGTTGGTGACTTCAGGCAGTAAAATTGTGTTCCTCGAAGAATACGACGACAATGACGCCATAGTGGATGCGGTGGCGCGTGACATTGATCTAAAAAAAGAAATAACTCAAACACACAATAAACAGACTTCAAAGCCAATAGCGACGGAACAAGTGCCCATGCATGTTGAACCAAATCCTAGCGATGAAATCAAGGTAGTGGCGGTGAGCGTGTCATCATCGAGCAAACGTGGTGGCCAAAGTCGCATAACAACAACAAGCAATCAATATCACATAGCTGACACAAATATGTCAAAACAGAGCGATATATTCACCGAGACACGTGCGTCAATGCCACACACAGATAAAATGCGACAGCAGCACAAGCAAACACCACATGACAACAGCGCTGACAAAAACCAGAGCGCTGACAACATGTCCGCCATGTCGGCAACAGCGACCACAACAGCGCCACTCGCGCCGATGACTGCATCGGCAGCGACCTCAACGATGGATGACTTTGTGAATCGCTCACACAAAAGCGAATTCTCCATTGAGGAAGCCGAACCGTTGACAATGTCGCCACAAAAATTACGCGGCGCACCGCATGCAGCACGAGCTAATAGTCCGCGCTCACTGCACACGCCACATGCGGTGAGTGGACGTGCTGTTAAAATGGCTGCTAACAGGGATGTGGTGGACTCGGAGAATAGCGCTTCGACCAATATACAAAACGTGTTGGCAGCGCCACTGACGCAATCCGCTTCCACACGCACCGCTACTGTCACTGCATCGGCTGCCTATCAGAGTGGCGGGAACAAACGTAATGGCACGTCCGCGCCCATAAATCACAGTCTGGCAAATGTAGCGCGTTCACATGTCAACACGCAAATTAGCGGTGCTGATGACATGAGCGTTGCCATTATGCGCGACACGTCCGCAGCGGTGGCGCACGCTGATGACACCAACGCTGATATGGATGAGAAATTGTTGCCCTTCCAAACGGTGATCTATCACAACACAAAGGAAGGGCATGGACCACAGTCCCGCTCAATATCATACAGTTCGCTGTCACAGAATGTGGAAGATTTACATGCGTGGCGGCACTCGGGTATCTTGGCCGAAGCGCAGCGCAACGTTAGTGAGAGTTTAAAACCCTTACAACGTGCACAATTGGCGCACAATTCAGAGCCGGCGAAGTTTTATTCGATGCCATCGAAAATGTACAGCGAACCGTCGAAGTTTTACTCCGAACCAGCTAAGGTATATTCTGAGCCATCTAAAGTATACGGTGAGCCCGAAAAGTTTTATTCCGAACCCGCTAAAGTATATGGTCAACCATCTAAGTTTTACTCCGAACCAGCAAAGGTATACTCACAGCCTGCGAAAGTTTATGGCGAGCCGGCGAAGACTTATTGGTCGCCAAGCGCCGCTGGTGCTGCCGTAACGGCTTTGCCGTCTACGTCCAGCTCTACAAGCAGCACAACCACAAGCTCAACCACGACTACACGCCCCGGGCGTTATATGCCCTCACGCCGACCCGCCATTGTGTCACGCATCGCTTTTGGCGAGGCGCAAACCTCAACAACAGCGCCGCCACAGCTTTCAGATGAACACCCACCAGTCACAATATCGTCCATATCCACTAACCAGCATCAACAGCCACACCACACGCATCACACACGTTTCCACTCGCATGCTCATAGCCATAGTCACAGCAGTCACGGTGCGCATAGTTCGCATGGTGCACATGATTCACATAGTTCGGTGCATGCACACTCAACGCATACTCAAGCCAACAGCCAGTCGAACGTCGAAACAGCCGCTCAACCTGCCCCATCGCAGTCACTATCACAGTCACATGCGGCGCAATCGCAACCACGTCGGGTACTCTTCAACTTGGATAAATTGCCGTATGATTTATTGAATGCGCCACAATCACCGCAACATCTCTTGGATCCCGACTTCTCGCACAGTCCACCGGCGGCTGTTACCTACTCATCGCCACGGCAACGTCAATGCTTGGAGTCCGCCTTCTCGGCCTCGTTGTCTCAATCAGCCTTGCAACAGCAACAGCAGCAGCAACGTCAATATTCGTCACTGTCGGACCAACATTCTAATCAAAATGCCAAAGGATTGCCTAATCGAGGTGAGTTAAGTACGAGTAGTTAGTTGCCGACAAAGTGGTACCGAACGATTTTGCTTTATGTTAGGCGTTTTTGTTATGTAAACAAGTATGTCAATATATACAGGTACTTTACTCATAGAGCGCGTTTGGCTGGGTTGTTTGTTGTTGTGCCTAATGACTTATTGTTAAAATTCTGTTTTAATACTTTTAGAGCTTTTGGTCTCTTTACAGTCGTTTAGTGTGTGAATGTAATGATGATCATTGTGTTATTAATGTCAATGTGACATGTCAGAATGTTTTGGAAAAAATTGTTCGCCACACTTCCCGGTTTATGTAAATCGAGTACAAATAGCTGGGATGTTTCCTAGGAATCTTTGAAGTAAGGGAGTTGAGCTCTATGCGGCGTTCTTCCTAAACCGATTTGTAATTGTGTCAGCTCATTTCATTTATATAGTTCAGTTCATGTTCGATTCGCAACTCGCATCTAAGAACCGAAAAAAGGCGAATATTTTGGAAAAGGTTTAAGACTTGCCATCACTTTGGAGGAGAGGATATCAAATAAAATGAACAAAGGTGAATTAAATTCTTCTTCTTAACTGGTGTAGATGCTACTTACACGATTAAAGCTGAGTTAACAACAGCGCGCCTATTGGTTTTTGTTTTCGCATGGTGGCGCTAATTGGAGATTCCAAGTCTTTCCAATGGAGTGGAGATCTTCCTCTTCTTCGGTTTTCCCCGGCGGGTACTGCATGGAATACTTTCACAGCTGGAATGTTTTCGCCCATTTGGACAACATGATCAGCGTAGCCACTGCCTCTTAAATCGGTGAGCTATATCAATTCTGAACTCGAATAATAAGTGACTTATAGAGTTTGGGTTTTGTTCGTCGAGAGAGGACTTTACTTTTCACCATGACTCATACATTCACTCTAAAGCTCCGGACAGAACCGGAGTATGGCTTCAGCTTGGATTCCTCTGGAAACTTTTTGGTAGAACCTTGAGATACTTATTTAATAAAGCCTTGTGAGTTATTATTCGAGTGTTTTTTTCAAAATTTTAATGGTAACTTAAGAAAAACATAGACAATAGTATTATTGAAAGTATAATCCATTACGAACGATTTTTGGATTTCATTGCAAAATTTCTGTGCCGGCTTGACGGCCAAAAACGAATCGAGTTAATGCTTGTTTAATTTTTTTTTGTGAGATCGTTCCACAACAACTGTAACAAATGGTAGTCGGAATGGACAAAGTTTGTACTAAACGGCGGGTGAGAAACAACTTCCTAGCTGGAAATAGTTTTGACCGGGAATGAAATGCGAGGCCGAGTGCCGTCATGATGGGAAATTCTGGCTTCGTATCTAGTCCCAAATTCTGGGCGTCTGACCTTCAATTTGATGAGTTGCTGTCGGTAGCCCTTCTGATTCCATCAAAAGCACAGCATTACCGTAGCGTAAGAGACAAGGTCTTTGCCGTTGGGTTGGGTAGTTGGCCAGGTTTCACATCAGATTTTTTGCATTTAGAGCAGCACCCGATTTTCTTGTTTTTGAATGTATGCAACTGATTTCAAAGCATTGGAAATGCCCGCTAGAGTGGCTTTCAAATATTCGACAAGCGTTTCTTGTATTTGGGAACGATCTTTTTTCGCCGCCCAGAAAGCCAAATCGCTCATTTAGGTGTTAATGTTAATGTTTACTCTATACTTCCAATTGTTAGAGGATTTTTTAGGGAATTTCTCAGTTCGAATGATTATATTTTTATAAGCACAAATTTTGTACATTCTTTAGACTAGATTACTTGTATGAAACGTTTTAGTCGAATCAGCGGTTGGACACCTGGCTATTCAATGCTTTAGGATGCACAAAATATTTTTTGACATATTTATAGCTATTTGTAATGCAACACTAATAATTTACTGTTATTGTATCAATTTTACCAAGTATCAATGTTTCTTCTCTTCTTCTGCTTCTTTCATTGCATTACTGAAATCTACAGATCTAGTCAAGTGTGTTTCCAAATACAACCAACCATTAGCCCCATCAACGGCGACAACAGAGAGCAGCCACAATGGCGACGACGGCAATGACGACAACAACGACGACAGCGGCGGTGGCTTGTATACGCCGACCCCAGAGCAAAATTACGAAATCGAAGAGTCCGTAAGTGTTATGACAAACGGACGAGCCCACGGTGTACAAAGCAATGTGGCAGTGACTACAACGGCCAGACCGTCATTTGCACTGCGTACCACGAAATTCCCCAGTCGCGGTGCGATACACCATCATCAACAACAGCATCACTATCACAGCAACGCCAACACAAATGCCAATATAGACAACAACTATGATGATAATGTGGCGCAGATTGGTGATTTGGATGGCGGCAGCGATGACGATGGCATTACTGGGGATGGCAGTAAAAATGGCGAGGGCGACGATGATGATGCCAAAGTGGCGTATGTGGTCGAGGGACGCAACTATCGCAAGTATCGTGTGGAGGAGAAGACCGACGACGGTTTCATTGTTGGCGAGTACGGTGTGGTGGACCATAATGATGGTAATTTACGTGGCGTACGTTACACCGCCGATTCGACTATCAATCGCAGTCTGATACAAAAGGCGTTGTTGACATTTCTTAAGCTCAAGTAGTCAAATGGACAGCGTAAGGTGATGGTGGTGGCATAGCGTTGTCATTGCGTACGGCATATGGCGGCATAAGTACATACTCGCTTATAAGGTTGTTGTTGGTGGTGCGTAAAACGTATAGCGTTGGGCGGCAATGTGTGGTGGATGCGCGCTGACGCACAAATCAGCGCATGCGTCTGCAAGCACATCTCTCTTGGGGGTAGTGAGTTGCTGACGTGCGGGTTGCGTGGTCATCACATGATATACTGAATGCTACGCGTTGCCGCAGCGGCTACGTTTTGCGTGACCTAAAGCTGACTTAGTATGCAGTATGCTAGCAGTTCAACGCTGACGCTATGACAGCTATGCGCGCCAATACACAGACAGCGCGTCGTTAAGCGCAAAGTATTTCTTGTCTATTCCTTGTGAGTTATTCATTATATTATATTTTATTTTTATTATTTGCAATTTTATTTTCGTGTTTTGTACTTTTGTTTAAGACCCATTAGACAAGCTGAAAAATATGTGATCCAAGTCGTACTGTAGGTAGTTTAACTAGGAAGGAATACACTAATACATATAAAGAATCTTACACGCAGACAACTAGCATACTTAGGCACAAATACATACACATACATTTATAAGCGCATACTGCGTTAGTATGTATGCACTCGTCGTATTTAATTAGCAGATATTCGTAAATAGCGCTCATTTCTTTTATATATTTTTTTATAGCTGATAAAATGTCAATATTGCGCTTTGATTGCAATCGTTTGTGTATTTAATTTATTATAGTTTTTTGTAAATTTTTTTAAATATTTATTTTAATTTTTTTTTTATCTACACACAGCGCTTACCAGCGTACATATGTTTGTATGTATGCGCGTGTAGTGGCTAGAGTTTAGTCTTCGTTTTAGTTAACTCATGTTTAGTGATTTATTGCAGATGAAAACAACTTGCCATAAATTTCCGTAGCAAAACAAAACATAAAAAGAGAAAAAAATATATAAAAAAATCAACAATAAGACAGCAGTTAAAAACTATTCGTATTTGTAATTTAGTAAAAGTGTTTTATTCTTAAATATATATACATATGTATAACTATATATAATATAAAATATACAACTGCTTAGTATTAGCTACACAAGTTTGTATGTCTGTCTAACTTCAATACTCAATAAGTAATTGCAACAAGTCGATATTTTTCCACACGGACCAACAGTGTCCACCATGCAAGCTAATAATTATTTATATGTAGCAATAATTGTTCGATTTAGCATTAATTTAAGCGATAGACAATTGTTTAGTGTTAAACGAGATTTTTTAGAGACAAAATCTTTACTTGTAAGTCTTATCAGATGAACGTGCTTTCTTGGATAAAAACATGCTTTGAAGAAACTTTAGGCGAACAAATTTATTTAGACAAAAATTATGAAGCAACACATATGAATATATATCAGCGCTAAATAAATTTTACAAAAAATAATATAGTATAAATAAAATTTACTACATAATTTTAGTTATATGAAATCACTACGCTTTCATTTACAATAACAAATCAATAAAATTTGCAATAATAAATCAAACGTAAAGCAGTTATACTAACCACATTTTCGAGAGCTAAATGATTTCGGCATCATCATCGGCATCGGCAGCGTAGTATTAAGTATTGAGCATTATTTTTACCAGTACAGCTAACTTGGATTTTGTAAAAGCTTAACCGATGTAAATTTTTTCAATTTTTAAACATAACAACGACCGATATTTGGCCATTACCGTAACTACCCTAATAAATAATATACATAAAAGCATTATTTCAAAGAGACAAAATTTGAGTGCTGGTTATAAAATGGTTATATATTGGTTATATGTTGGTTATAAGTTGACAAGTGAAAGAAAAATGATATAATAGAAACCAAGCACATTGAAACGAAATTTTAGTTTAGGTTATAAAGTGGTTATATATAGGTTATATGTCGGTTATATTTTGGTTATTGGTTATATCTGATATCGGAAGCTGAAAATTGAATGCCAGATACATATATGTGATATGATGTGGTGAATCGTATGCAATAAAATACTCAATGCAGATTTTTCTGATGATACGTTGTATTGAATTTTAAGTGACGTTATGTAATAAACATCTCAGAGCATTGAACAAAAGATCTCTCGTATACCCTTCTCGTCCTTTAGCATTCGATACCTTACCCAACTAAGTTGTATCGAAAATGGTTACTTTTGACACGACCTGCCACAACTAAACAAATGGCATACAACTTACAGTTTACTTCTATCCTCACTTAAAATAATGCAAAGTCGGCATAAAGTCGAAGAACATAGATGAGCACCCGGAAAAAGCAGTTAAAGCGCAAACAAGCTAGGTTATAACAAAAATGTATAGAAAAAATATAACCAACTAAACTGTCTAAACTGCCCATTATTTTATTAATTCCGAGGAAACCTCCTTTCATACTACAAGAAGGTGCAGCCTCAACAATATCTCTATGAAAACTCTTTTTAATTCATCAACGTTCACACTTTATGGTTAACTGCTAACCATATAAACTTACTTCAGTTTACTTTCATAGTACAAAGGTAATAATGATGAATTAAGAAAGATCCTAGAAACTAAAAAACTAGATAAAATGATCCGCTAAAAATGCCACCCAATTCAGCGTGTGTTTAAACTTAAAAAAAAAAAAGGAAATAGTCATTGGACGACCTGGCGTCATTTTAATTCTCCGGACTATTTTTATTTACTGTAACCATACCATTAATCTTCAAAACTCTTTTCATATACAGTTGATGGAGAAGCTGAATTCAACGAATTTTGTTTAATCTCTTGGATCGATTGAAAACAGATTAAACGGAGTGAAAATTTCAGTACAAGAAAAAACCACACGGACCCAAAACTGCCATGATGCATGATCATAGTGTAAAATCCATGAATTGTTATTTCACAATTCCGGCCGTTTTTATCTTGTTCATGATGTTCTCACGCTAATGCCTCAATATGGCCAAATACAAGTCCTTATTGACCGTTTGTTCCTCAGGTACAAATTTATGATGTACCAAACCACAAATATCGAAAAAAGCAAAGAGCATCAAATTGATTTCTGAGCGTCTTTGGCCTGGATTTTTGGTTTCGGCTGATTGTTTCCTCCATTACAATGAATGTTGACTTGTTTGCATGTCAAGCTCACAAACCCATGCCTCATCGGCAGTTATAATGCTCTCCATGAATGGGGATCGCATTTCGTGCGTTCAAGCATATCCAAAAATACTAGTTTTCGGTTTTCTTTTTGAAAAAATTTAGCTTTATCGGGACGAGTAGAGCAAGAACGCGTTTCATACTCGACAGATCCATTTCTTTAACACTTGCCTGATGACTTTCAAGCACCATATCATATTCTTCACTTTTTTTTAATTTCTATTAGTTGAAGGGGTCGAAGGTCGTCCAGTACGTTTATCTTTTTAATGCAGGATAATGCTGTATAGTTTTAATTTAAAGTGCGGTTAATTCTCTTTTCATCGCGGTGTTTTTTACGTGGTAGGTCCCATAACCAGCGCACAACTCTGAGAGGGTCCCGCGCCTTCAAACGGATGTTTTTTTAGCTGCCCAGAGGATACTTGATCTAAGACCGGAAGTCGTGAGCTGCGGTCTTTTTTGGTAAAAACTTCGTTTGATGATATGATATACTATAGGTATCAGGAACTTTATTTGCCAATATACCCAATATTTCAGCTATTCGAAATTGATTTATAAATATCATTTTTAACTACAGAAATAACTTAAAATAGTTATGGGAAGCAAAAACGATCCTAATGTATTGAGATAGCTGAGCGATTCAGTAGCTTTGAGATAAGGGGATATGATATAACATTTTTATGTAGCAGTCAACTTATTTGCTCTTTGAACGTATAACAATTTTGACGACTCGGTTGAAGTAACCTTACACCTTACACGGTTGACGTAACCTTACACACTTCTGGTGACCAGATTGTCGTATAGGACTTTGCTCTAGATCATAAAAAATCTGTTTTAAATAAAAACTTGCAGACAGTATATAATAAAAAATAACACATTGAAGGCCATTATTTGAAAAATTAAAGTTACGTTATAAAAATTAAATAATTGTTAAAAATTACTGAAAACTATAAGAACAGCGCACAATAAATGTCGTAGGTAGTATAACTAAATGTGTAAATATATCTATATATATCTATATATTATATAAATATACATATTTTAATAGTTAAATAAATAAAGACAAAACATTCGAGCATTTATTGCTAGCCGCAATATTTCCTATAAAAGGTACAAAATACTACCTTGAATTGTTCCTTTTTAAATAAACGTAGAAACGTACAACAACAACAACAAAAAACTCTAACGAACTTGTTGTTAAGAGCCAACACGAAATGCTCAAATTTATAACTTATTTATTTGTACTAATTCTAGTTATATAAATAATTTAGTTAAAATAATGTTCGAAATATTTCAAAGAAATACGATAACTGTAAAACTTATACCACTAAAGTAGATATCACAATATGAACCATTTAAATATATAAGCAATTGATTGCGAAATTAGTCTAAATGTCCGAGCGATATTATGTAAATATTGTTGTATATACTTCAAATATAATAATTTACCATCATTTGTCTCTTAATAAATGAAGTCAATAATGAGTTGAAATATTATAATTAAGTGCAAAATAAAACAAAGACCGAACGAAAACAACCAAATTGGTTTTATTGCATTATCTTTTAATGATTTCTTTTCTTTTTAGTACTTTGTAAGAGCGATGGATGTAAGTGATCCACTTAATTCCTATTTATTGTGTACTTGGGTAGGTATACCTATAGTGTACAACGAATGTACACCCTCATCTGATTAGGTTGAAATAGTATGTAAGGGTTATTATGATTACAGTATCAGGTTTGTATCTCCATTTTTTCATGTTTATTGGATATACTAATAGGCCAATTGGATTTGTCATTTTAAGGTGTTCACTCCGACAGTGTTAAACCGTCTTGAAATCGATAAAGCTATCTGAAGAGAAGTTCAGAATATATAAATTAGCTACAAATAAAGTTTAGGGTTCCAGATAAGTGTGAAATATAGATTCAGACGTGGCGTAGTAGGTTTTTATGTCAAGCAGTAGACTTTGTTTTACTTGCATCTATTATAATTGAAGCCGTTCTTAAGAATTCTTTGCTCGATAATCCATGACCTCACGGATTTTCATACTCAAAATATACTCTTCACAAATAAAATAGTTTTCATTGGTTAAGCTAAGTTAAGTCGAAATCTCACTTTTACATTTATTCTCCCTTTGCGTAACTCATAAACTTTTAAAAGTGGATAACCCGAAATTGCCGGTCCGTGGAACCCATTTTCAGACGGGGAAAGAGATAAAACAAAATTCGCTGAAGGAGCTGAATGTCAAAAAACGCTTATGAAAAGTGTTTCGAGTATCAATGGAATTGTTTATTCCTGTCAAAGTACATTAGGTACCATTTCGCGAACTAGAGTCTTGACGTAAACCCATAGAAAATAATCTAACAGCTTCAAATCGCACGACCTTGACGGTGAATTGACTGGACATTTTCGTGTGATAACATATTCATCAAACTTGGTTTTCAATAAATCAATTGTGACATTCACTGTGTGGCTTGTGGTGCCGTCCTTTTATAACCGCATAGTGTTCAGTTCCATATCAACCAATGCGGGCTAAAAGTATTCGTTTATCATTGAGCGTTAGCGGTTCCTATTCACACTAACGTGCACGTCTTAAACATCACGGAAGAAGTACGGACCATAAACCGCACCGA